AATTTTATTTTTACATCATATCAGTTTTATAAAAAAAGTCGCTCAGCCGGATGACAAACCAATCAATTTTATTTGCGTGCCTTAATTCAAAAATTTTACTATTGTATACATAGCGTAAGAATTTTTAACCTGTATAACTGCTTGCTATCGAGTACTGTAAATATATTTATTAACATATTTATTATATTCTAATTTAGTTTTTTTTTTTTTTTTTAACCAATGAATGTTTACGTTAACATTAATTTGCTCTTATAAAAATTAAATGTCCATTAATAATGCTAATTTGTAGTTGCAGGTTTTCGTATTAACCCGGGTTTTTAATCCCATCTGAGGGTTATTAATTTTCGCTGAGAGTCAACAACCCTTCGCAATATTGTACGTATAAAAAAAAAAGCTAAGCTAAAAAAGTAGATTTTATCGTATCACTACCGCTACTACCAAATTTATAATCTTATCGGACTTAATCCCTGAAAAAATCTGTAATTAAAAATTTTATGTACCGATCGATATCATATCACATGTCGCTTATTAGTTTTTTTTTCAGGGGCTAAGCTGTATATCTGATGACTTATTGATTGTAATTAATGATTGGCGTAGTAAAGTATCTAATACTTTTTTAACTGAGGCCCGCATAAATAATATATATACCTTTTTTGTATAATAAATATAACTGGATTTATAATCGATCACACTAACCGCAAATCGATTTTTTGATTCGTTAACTAACAAATTTGACCAATAAGACACAATAGTAGAAATTATATTAAATGAAAAACGATAACGATAAGAATTCGACTTTTCTAAAATTGGTACGTTTGTACTGGATTTTTTTGTAGGGTTCAAGAATATAACACGTCCTTGTTTGACAATTAAATTGTTAGATCAATTGTTTTTTTTTTTAAATACAATGGACTTGCTATTTCCGTTGTTATTTTCACAAACCTTTAAACAATTTCACAGCATTATTTATTATAATGAACATTAATTATAGTATATTCTTTTTAACTTGCATTTTTTTTTTTTCTCACCACAAAACTTTATTATAAAGTTTTTCAAACATCTTGTGAGAAATAGGCAAGTATCGTAAAAGAAAAAAATTTTTTAAAGAGTTATTGTAATACAAAAAAAAGTCTTGAGCACCACTCACATTGTAGGATTCGTAATACCCGACCGATTTGTTTTGTGTTACTAATATGTAACAATTAAAAATATGCAGAACTTTTTTAAATTATGTGTTTTTTTCATTTGAAACTATGATAAAATAGTCCATACAATGGCGTTAAAAGTATCACAAAAATTTAAGAGTTATCAAACATCACACCAGTCCAGTATATGTATAATACTTATATCACTTGATATTATTATGAAACAAGACGATGGCTCCAGTTTTATTAAATCAAATTCCTATAAGTAAAAAAAAAAAAAAAAAAAATAACTATACAGAATTCTTTATAGTAATTATGAAAGAGGTTAATAATAGCATTAATACACAATTTACAGAAAAAAATATTTTTTGAGCATTTTGATTACATATCAGATAAAGCGATTAATGAGTGGACACCAACGTGAGCCCACAGGAGAAAGATGAATATATGAGAAATATGTAAAAAAAAAATGCCGGTGAAAAAAGGGAAATTATATAAAAAGATGCAATGAAAAAAAGAGAAAATATGTAAAAAGATGATATTGAGAGAAATGTATGCAAAAAAATAAACAAATTTACAAAGAAAATTATGTATAATGAAAAGAAAATTTTGCCTCACTATTATAATATATACCTCTTTTATCTTTTTTTTTTTTTTTTTAAGAAAAATTGTTCATAATCTGAGAATTAAGAATTCTCATTATTTATAATTACTATAATTTTTTTTTTTTTTTTTTTTTTTACTTAACCATGTACCAAAGTTCCTAGTTCATCCAAGTGCGCTGATAATCGATTTTGTAACTTTTTCAAATGACCGATTAAACTTGGCATTACTTCAACACCTATTCTAAAGTTCTCTTTTCGTCTTGTACTTCCTCTATTACATCCACCATTACTGCTACTTTCACCATTTTCTAATTTTTGCTTTTTGGCTCGAGCGTTTCCAGCGCTGCTGGAAGCTAAATCAGAACCAATATTATCGTAATGATTTTCTTTATCGTCATCCATAATTATAACACCTCGAGCATCTTCACCTAATTCTTCTACTATAATCTTTTTAAATACTTGTACATGTCGCTCCGAAGGTATTCTATCGATATCGACTTTAACACTTTCATTATCATTAGAAGTTGATGGCTTATCCTGAGCCACATCAGAAAGATCAATTATTACAGTTGCTTCTTCCCAATCTTGTTTAAATAAATTTTCTAGATCTTTATATTTTTTAATTGTTGATCTAGTGGAGCCAGATTTCCATTTTTTTCTAATCATTCTGGATTGAATCAATGACGTAAAATTCAATTTTTTATGATGTAATAATTTCAATTCTATTAAAAAAATTATTATAAATATTAGTATATATATTGTATTATTAATTAATTAATTAATAAAAATAATGATGATTACCTTCGACTTGAGAGGCAAAGTCGCGAATATTAGATATATCCATTCTCAAAGATAATTGAGATTTTTCAACCGAATTAGGAACATTTATTTCGTTATTATCCAGAACGAAATCATCATCCCAGCTTTCACTAGGAGCCGCTAATTAAAAAAAAAAAATTA